CTCCTCGCCCGCCAGTCAATCCGAACTTCCCACCGCTTGCTTTCCACCACTCGCTCAGCCATGTCCGCCTACCAGACGAACAACTCCGTCGAGGTGCGCCGTGCCGAGTGCGCGCGGCTGCAGGCCAAGTACCCGGCGCACGTCGCCATGGTGGTGGAGGCCGCCAGGAGCAGCAAGGCGCACTTCCTCGCGCTGCCCCGCGACGCCACCGTCGCCGAGCTCGAGGCGGCCGTGCGCGCCGCCCTCAGCATCAGCGCCACGAAGATGTCGCTCGCCGTCGACGGCTGCACACCAGCCGCCGCCGCCACCGTGGGCGACCTCAGTGACGCTTGCAAGCACGCCGACGGCTTCCTGTACGTGGCGGTGCGTGCGGAGAAGGCGATGGGCGCTCTCGCTGTTCCCTGCTTCGCGAGCGACACCATTTAACTTGCTCTAGAGCCTTTGTTTCGTGCGACGCCCCTCGCAACCCTCGGTGGCTGCCCTGCGGCCTCGCACTCACGCGCCGCTGTGCGAATCGCACTGTTCACTGGCGCTGCACAGCTCGACGTGCGCGAGGAGCGCCTCTCTGCCGGAGAGCCTACTGTCCAGGACCACACCGGCATCACCAGGAGCCTCCTCCTCCCGCACGCCAGTTGCGCACTGCCGCTGCACATGCACACTCACCTGCTAGCGCTTGCATGATGTTCATTGTTCTGCTTGCAACGGCACAACAATATTCTATTGCTCTTTTATAGTTTCTTGTTGTTCATACTCATTCGTCCCATTCAGTTTGTGCACTTCCCAGCTAACGTCCGTCTTGTTTATTTTTTCCTCAATGTGTGCTTCCCTTTGTTTTCTGTTCCCTCTGTTTTTCGCGCAGCCCCCTCGCGGCGCCATGTGTACAGTCGAATGCTGAATGGATTGCGTACCCACAGCCCTCGGCGCATCGGCGCCAACCGCACACAGCGGATCCACAACAGCCAGCCCGCTCTCGACGTGTGAGCGCCTCGTCTCGCTTTGCAGTGTGTGCTAACTCTCTTCACCCATCGCCCTCCGCACTCGACTTGGAGCCACGACGGCTGCGTTTGCTCCCCCTCACCTCCGCTGAGCTTCTTCCTGCGTCCTTCCTGCGTCCCTCCCCCGCTCCCACTCTCCCTCACCCTGCGCGTCTTGCTTTTGTCCTCTCTTCTGCTGTTTGATTGCGTTGCCGTTGCGCTCTTGTCGCACAGACTAACGCCCTCAGCCACGAGCTCCTCGCCCGCCAGTCAATCCGAACTTCCCACCGCTTGCTTTCCACCACTCGCTCAGCCATGTCCGCCTACCAGACGAACAACTCCGTCGAGGTGCGCCGTGCCGAGTGCGCGCGGCTGCAGGCCAAGTACCCGGCGCACGTCGCCATGGTGGTGGAGGCCGCCAGGAGCAGCAAGGCGCACTTCCTCGCGCTGCCCCGCGACGCCACCGTCGCCGAGCTCGAGGCGGCCGTGCGCGCCGCCCTCAGCATCAGCGCCACGAAGATGTCGCTCGCCGTCGACGGCTGCACACCAGCCGCCGCCGCCACCGTGGGCGACCTCAGTGACGCTTGCAAGCACGCCGACGGCTTCCTGTACGTGGCGGTGCGTGCGGAGAAGGCGATGGGCGCTCTCGCTGTTCCCTGCTTCGCGAGCGACACCATTTAACTTGCTCTAGAGCCTTTGTTTCGTGCGACGCCCCTCGCAACCCTCGGTGGCTGCCCTGCGGCCTCGCACTCACGCGCCGCTGTGCGAATCGCACTGTTCACTGGCGCTGCACAGCTCGACGTGCGCGAGGAGCGCCTCTCTGCCGGAGAGCCTACTGTCCAGGACCACACCGGCATCACCAGGAGCCTCCTCCTCCCGCACGCCAGTTGCGCACTGCCGCTGCACATGCACACTCACCTGCTAGCGCTTGCATGATGTTCATTGTTCTGCTTGCAACGGCACAACAATATTCTATTGCTCTTTTATAGTTTCTTGTTGTTCATACTCATTCGTCCCATTCAGTTTGTGCACTTCCCAGCTAACGTCCGTCTTGTTTATTTTTTCCTCAATGTGTGCTTCCCTTTGTTTTCTGTTCCCTCTGTTTTTCGCGCAGCCCCCTCGCGGCGCCATGTGTACAGTCGAATGCTGAATGGATTGCGTACCCACAGCCCTCGGCGCATCGGCGCCAACCGCACACAGCGGATCCACAACAGCCAGCCCGCTCTCGACGTGTGAGCGCCTCGTCTCGCTTTGCAGTGTGTGCTAACTCTCTTCACCCATCGCCCTCCGCACTCGACTTGGAGCCACGACGGCTGCGTTTGCTCCCCCTCACCTCCGCTGAGCTTCTTCCTGCGTCCTTCCTGCGTCCCTCCCCCGCTCCCACTCTCCCTCACCCTGCGCGTCTTGCTTTTGTCCTCTCTTCTGCTGTTTGATTGCGTTGCCGTTGCGCTCTTGTCGCACAGACTAACGCCCTCAGCCACGAGCTCCTCGCCCGCCAGTCAATCCGAACTTCCCACCGCTTGCTTTCCACCACTCGCTCAGCCATGTCCGCCTACCAGACGAACAACTCCGTCGAGGTGCGCCGTGCCGAGTGCGCGCGGCTGCAGGCCAAGTACCCGGCGCACGTCGCCATGGTGGTGGAGGCCGCCAGGAGCAGCAAGGCGCACTTCCTCGCGCTGCCCCGCGACGCCACCGTCGCCGAGCTCGAGGCGGCCGTGCGCGCCGCCCTCAGCATCAGCGCCACGAAGATGTCGCTCGCCGTCGACGGCTGCACACCAGCCGCCGCCGCCACCGTGGGCGACCTCAGTGACGCTTGCAAGCACGCCGACGGCTTCCTGTACGTGGCGGTGCGTGCGGAGAAGGCGATGGGCGCTCTCGCTGTTCCCTGCTTCGCGAGCGACACCATTTAACTTGCTCTAGAGCCTTTGTTTCGTGCGACGCCCCTCGCAACCCTCGGTGGCTGCCCTGCGGCCTCGCACTCACGCGCCGCTGTGCGAATCGCACTGTTCACTGGCGCTGCACAGCTCGACGTGCGCGAGGAGCGCCTCTCTGCCGGAGAGCCTACTGTCCAGGACCACACCGGCATCACCAGGAGCCTCCTCCTCCCGCACGCCAGTTGCGCACTGCCGCTGCACATGCACACTCACCTGCTAGCGCTTGCATGATGTTCATTGTTCTGCTTGCAACGGCACAACAATATTCTATTGCTCTTTTATAGTTTCTTGTTGTTCATACTCATTCGTCCCATTCAGTTTGTGCACTTCCCAGCTAACGTCCGTCTTGTTTATTTTTTCCTCAATGTGTGCTTCCCTTTGTTTTCTGTTCCCTCTGTTTTTCGCGCAGCCCCCTCGCGGCGCCATGTGTACAGTCGAATGCTGAATGGATTGCGTACCCACAGCCCTCGGCGCATCGGCGCCAACCGCACACAGCGGATCCACAACAGCCAGCCCGCTCTCGACGTGTGAGCGCCTCGTCTCGCTTTGCAGTGTGTGCTAACTCTCTTCACCCATCGCCCTCCGCACTCGACTTGGAGCCACGACGGCTGCGTTTGCTCCCCCTCACCTCCGCTGAGCTTCTTCCTGCGTCCTTCCTGCGTCCCTCCCCCGCTCCCACTCTCCCTCACCCTGCGCGTCTTGCTTTTGTCCTCTCTTCTGCTGTTTGATTGCGTTGCCGTTGCGCTCTTGTCGCACAGACTAACGCCCTCAGCCACGAGCTCCTCGCCCGCCAGTCAATCCGAACTTCCCACCGCTTGCTTTCCACCACTCGCTCAGCCATGTCCGCCTACCAGACGAACAACTCCGTCGAGGTGCGCCGTGCCGAGTGCGCGCGGCTGCAGGCCAAGTACCCGGCGCACGTCGCCATGGTGGTGGAGGCCGCCAGGAGCAGCAAGGCGCACTTCCTCGCGCTGCCCCGCGACGCCACCGTCGCCGAGCTCGAGGCGGCCGTGCGCGCCGCCCTCAGCATCAGCGCCACGAAGATGTCGCTCGCCGTCGACGGCTGCACACCAGCCGCCGCCGCCACCGTGGGCGACCTCAGTGACGCTTGCAAGCACGCCGACGGCTTCCTGTACGTGGCGGTGCGTGCGGAGAAGGCGATGGGCGCTCTCGCTGTTCCCTGCTTCGCGAGCGACACCATTTAACTTGCTCTAGAGCCTTTGTTTCGTGCGACGCCCCTCGCAACCCTCGGTGGCTGCCCTGCGGCCTCGCACTCACGCGCCGCTGTGCGAATCGCACTGTTCACTGGCGCTGCACAGCTCGACGTGCGCGAGGAGCGCCTCTCTGCCGGAGAGCCTACTGTCCAGGACCACACCGGCATCACCAGGAGCCTCCTCCTCCCCTCCTGTTCACCAACATCCTTCCTATTATTGTTCTTCTTTACTTTGGAACTGTTCATGACGGGGGATTGTTCTCTCGTCGACGTAGCAGAACAGAACGGCGAATGTGTTCTCTAATGTGTTTCATCCTCATTCGTTCCTCTTCATCCGTAGAGGCAGCTCACCGCTGCCATATAATGTTTTCTGTTTCTTTCCTTCCTTCACCTGCCTCTGTTTGTCCTGTTTTATTGTTTTTCTCGTTAATGTTTTGCCTCACGTTATGCAACTATGTGCACAGCCCTACTAAGGAACATAAACATTTCGATTCTCTTCAAGGATCTGTGGCGGCGGCACGCACACACGTTTCCGTGAACCCATGACAGTCTCCTCGCCCGGTGTAGTACGTTTTTTTCCGGCACCTGCTTAACGGAAGGGAAAATAAGGTGAAGGCAGTGTGGGATTATTATGATTTCCAAATTCACTGTTATCACAATGCGGGGCCTCGCCAGTGATTGTCGCGTGCTTTTTTGTTGTTGTTGCTCTTAGTACCGCGGCGTACTTCTGTTTTTGTACTTCCTCTACCTTCTTCTGGAGCTTTTTTTTCTGTTCTCCCTTTGGTTGATTCCCATTTTGACTTGCATCAACGTTGTGTGCTCACGTTGACGTGATCTGCGAAAAACAACAACATTTTTCTCCCCTTAAATTATGTTTTGAGGGGTCTCCATCTGACACATCATCCCCTGTAAATCACTTCTTTGGGGTTTTTTTAATCAGAATAGCTCTGTTGCTCTTTCCCACATCTTCACGCCCAATCGCACACGCGAAGGAGAACAGAAATAAAATAATAATCGGTGAACGTCGTTTTTTGTCGCACATACTTTCGTCTTCGTCCGTATTACTGCGCCCTTTCACTCTGAATCCCCCCCCCCTCCCCATTCCCTTTGCTATCCCACTGCAATGGCGTCTCAAGGTTACGCTACAGACGACGTGCAGGAGCGTCCGACGGCGGGTATGGCGGGCATCGATGACGAGTACTGCCCCCATTACTTCCATCCTGGTGCCCGTCGTCTCTTCGCCGTGTTGCCTTTTGCTGAGCGCATTCCCCTCTTTGGCGAGGCTGCCCGACCGTACGGTCCCGGTCGCGTCGGGTCCTTGGCGATCTACTACTTCTTCGGCAAGGGCATCGCGAGCAACATCATGACCTACGCTCGTCAGCCTCTCTTTATGAAGCGCTACAGCATTGACGGTACGCGCTACCAGCGTCTGTCCAGCATCTCCGGTATGGGCTGGTCCATCAAAGCCTTCACTGCTATGCTGTGTGATACGCTCGCTCTCTGCGGGTACACAAAACGGTGGTACATGTTCGGCTCCGCCGTGCTCGGTGCTGTCTTTGCTCTCGTGCTGGGGCTGCTGCCGGCGAAGGAGTCGTCCGCCAACATCGCGTGTGCTTTTGTCTTTCTCACCTCCCACAGCAACGCCAACATGGATATCCTGTCAGAGGGTCTGTACAGCCGTCTGATGCGTCGCCAGCCCAGGGCCGGCGCGGCCCTCGTCAGCTCCATTTGGTGGTTTATCATGGTAGGCGTCATCATCGCGGCCAGCATTCAAGGCCCCCTGTCGGACGGGGGTAAAGCACAGATCGGCATTTTCGTCTCTGCGGCGCTGCTGCTGCTGTGCGGTCCCATCTTCCTCTTTAACCTCTACGAGGAGCGTCCGAACCGCGTGGAGCGCTGGGAGGACGCATTGGCCATCGAGGCGGAGGTGCGCATGGAGCTCGGCGAGGACGTCTCCTCCGAGCAGGCCCGTCTGCGAGCTCGTCTGGGGAAGGCGCACTCTCTCTCCAACAGCGACACGGAGCCGATCTCGAGCCAAGCGAAGGACATGCACCCCGAGCTTGGCCATACAGAGCAGGGTTAACGGGGGGGGGGGGCCTTGTGGAAGATGTCCTCGACGACAACATGAATGACGACGAGATGAACAGCCTTGAGGCTGCTGCGCAAGAACGTGTCGGGAGGTGCAAACCTGCCTCTTCGGTGTGTTTGAGGTGAACCGAGAAGTCATGGTGCGCAATTGGAAGGTGATTTCGTACTGTATGATCATGACCTGCGCGGTGGTCGCCATGGCGTGCGGTAACGTCCTCGCTGACACGCTCGGTCTGCTCATTCTGTGTGTGATTGTGTCCACCGTGTGCTGCGCGGCGTCCTTCTGGGCCCTGCCCCTCGTCATCGCCAAGGCGAACGTGTTCGGTTACCTGCAGATGGTCTGCTACTTGCAGCTGCCTGGCGCGCTCGACAGCTTCTATCTCGCCGAGGAGGACTGCCTTCCTGGTGGACCGCACTTCTCCTACACCTTCTACAACACGGTCAGTGCGGTCATTGGCAACATCGGCGGTCTCTTCGGTGTGACGGTCTTCAACTACATCTTCTCTAAGCACAGCTACCGCCTCACCGTGAACATAACCACTGTGATTCAAATTCTGGGCTCGATCTTTGACATCATCATGACGAAGCGCAGGAACATTCACATCGGCATCCCGGACCACGCCATGTACATCTGCGGCGATGCCGTCGTGTACCAGGTGTGCTTCTACCTCGCCTGGATGCCGGTGGTGATCTTACTCTCCCGCCTGTGCCCGCGCGGGTCGGAGAGTATGGTGTACGCGCTCATGGCAGGCTTCGCGAATCTCGGCGAGACCACCGCGTCGTCCATCGGTGCCATCATCATGGAGTACGGCTGGGGTATCGCGACGAAAGTGCCGTTCGACTTCACGAACGTGCCGTGGCTCGTCTTCGTTGGCCACGTCATGTGTCCCATTCTCATTATGCCGCTGTCCTTACTGCTGCCACAAGCGCGCATCTGCGACGATATCAACGTGGACGGCGAGACGGTGCGTCGCGAAGTGCAGAACCTTGTGGAGGATGAAGTGGAGAGCACTGAGAGCAATGATAACGCAGTCCGCAAGTAAGATGCCGAGAAACTTCCAATCGCTCACGTCCACACAGAAGAAAGACACGCTGAGACACGCGTGCATCACACGTTGGACTCTGCGATCACCCATCTGTTGGTTTACCCCGCGGCACAGCAGCCTTTCCGCGCGCCCTCATCCCGCCACACTTTTCGTGATACTCTGCGGTGAAACCCTTCCCTTTTTTTTTGCTTCTTGATCTACCTCATAAGTACGATTGCTCTGTAAAGTCGTGCATGGTGCGATGCTTTGCGAAAGAGAAAAGCACGCACGCATTTTTTTCCCTCCCTTCAACATCATTCATATATCTGCCTTTATACGCGTTGTTTTGATTTGATTTTGTTTTTCTAAAACTCCCCATCCCTCCCCCCCCCTCCCCTTAGGTTTTTCCCTTGCCAGCAGCAGCTTCCCTCTGTTAAGCAGAGGAACTGTAAGGCCGTAATAAGGCGATTGGAATAGCATCACTGGCTGCAGGAAAGAGAGAGCCTGAAAGCGTCGCTGTGTCGCTGCGCTTCCACGTGATATTGCTTTCTTTTCGTCGGTGCCGTTGCTTCTCCTTTGAGTTTTCATGATTTTCCTCTCTAACTGTTTTGGTGTGATGTTGGTGATGTTCTTCTTTTGGTTTTGTTTTAATGTCACAGCAAGCATTCACGCACTACGTGCTGTACATCTTGATTTTTATTTCCCTTCTATATGTGAGTGTGAATGTTCTCCTTCCGGTTATCGTGCATGACGGCATGAATGTGGCTTCCTCTTTTGGGGACTGTTGTCGATTTGGTCTAGTAAGCGCTTGCATGGCCTTGCTATCGTAGAGGTGGAGTACAAAGCAGGACTTCTAGCGTCGAGTTCAAGCCCCTTGTTCTCATACAGTTGGCACATTGTATTGGCATCTCTGCTCTTCTTATACCGTACTTTTATCCTCCTCTTCCCCCACCCAATGCTTCCACACGCATTTGAGCTTTTATGGACAGGGGGCGGTGGGTCCGAGCGTGTTTGTAACCGTGACCTTTTTTTATTGTTATTTGCGGTTAAGGCTTCCGTTGTCGAAGTCTACGAAACTATTGCTGCTTCATCGCGTCGTTCTTTCTTTAGCTTTATCGCTGATAGCGAAGACAATAGCCCGCTTTTTCTATTTTAGAAAAGAAATAATAATTTGGTGAGGCAGCTCATGCTGCTCCCACCGCATACGATGGTACGACCGGTGCGACACACACGAGAAGAAATCAAGTGTGGAATCCATTCTCTCTTGGGCTTTTCCCTCGCAATTTGCCACATCGAAAAGGCACGGCCTATTCACGCATCGTAATTGTGTTGTACATGTGTTTTCTCTCTATTTATTGTTATGATTATTACTCCTCCGTGAACAGTACCAGTTTAGGATCACCGTGGCAGAGACCAAAAAAAATGGAAGATGCGCGACGCACCTTCTCCTTGGGCCTTCTCTTAGTCCCTCTGTATCTCTTCACTTAAGGAGCAGCGTAAGCTCTGTTTGTGTTATATATACATGCCTCTCTTTTCTTTTGCTGCTGTTGGCGTTATAGCTGCATTGCGCAGTTGCCCCAGCGCACTTTTTCGTTATTTCGACAATTAAAAAAATGTCAGAGCGCAAGCGACAAATGCGTGAAGGGTTTGCCGCTGATTGCTGTGTCGTCAAAACGGTGCTTAACGTAAAAAAAAAAAACGAGCTCCCAAGCGTGCGAGCATTTCGGCACATATATATATGTGTGTCTGGGGGAGAATGAGGAAGAACTTCTTTCTTCTTGCCGACAAACGAAAAGGACTCAACTGACGCTACTGATGCTGTGTCTTCGTGGTGCTTCTCTTTTACCTCTTTGGCCTTTTTCCCCTCTCTCGCTCTCGTCTCGCCTTTCTCAGGCTCCATCGTGTTGCGTCGCCTCACACACGTATTCTCTGGCTTTTCCGTACCACTGTAGAAGTACACCTCCTTCGATACCGTTACATATATATATATATATATATACGTCTATGCAGACGACAAGCCCGCCCTTTGCCCTCACCTCACTACGGAAGACAGTCCGACTCCTTCACCTTCTTTTCTCGCACCCATCTTTGAGCCTCGGATGGATGTGCTGCTGCAGGTGGTGCAGCCACGATCTCCCACCCCAACCAAAGCGGTACGTGCCTGCTCCGACGGAATTCGAAGCTTCACGGCCAGTGCAGCAGCGCATAAACCCACGAACGTGAGAGAGGGGCAGGCAGCATGCGGTCCTCATGGGACGGCAGTGCCGTTCTGCGTTGGATGCCTGCAGTTCTCCCAGCCGTCGGGCGTAACGAAAAGCGACAACGATGATGATGCGGAACAGCAGCGAATTGGTTGGTGCGTGTCGATACTCCGGACTGAGGGCGCCACTCAGTCAGCCAACGGGAAGCAGTCAGTGGATGAAAGCTCCCACCCCGACACATCCGTATTAACAGACCCAGGCCGTGCAACAGATGGCGCCGCTGTTTCCGCTCGTTGTGGCTTAAGTGTTTTACGTCTCATGGTGTGCACTGAGTCTGGAGCACCGTTACTACGCCCAGCACCCGCAGACCAAATGAACGCTCTTCACGCAACACTGTGCCACACGATGCGTCAGCTGATCTCGCGCCTGCACGTCTGTAACAGGAGTAGTGCCATGTTTGAGCGGGAGAAGGTTGAACATCCGCTTGCATCGACGGTTTTCTTCTGCGGGAGCAGCGTCCACACGCGCAAGGACGCACTGTACCTTACCGCGCTGCACCGCCTTCTCGTAGAGTGCGTGCTCAACGCCCACGCTCACGCGGCGAATGCAGCAGCGGAAACCGCCACGACTGCCGACGTGTCGTTGGTCACCTACTACGAACTTTGGGGCATGGGAGACGTGCTGGCGCCGGAGACACGCGTGTTTGACCGCCAACACGGTGTGACATGGCTCCCCCTGTCACCATCATCTTTGCATACGAATCAGTCCCAAGGTGAGGCGCAAGGGATGGCGGGGGCACGTACTCGTCAAGACACTCCACCAAGTACGAAGGAGACGGCGCAACGCGTTCAGAGTCAGCTGCGCGTGTGGTTTCAGCGCATTGACGACGCCGCTGCTGTCTGGCCGCAGTCGTCCTCTCCTTCACCCTCCGCGTTGCCCCTCACGGCAGCGGACAAGCTGCATTATTTGGATAGCAACGCCGTTGTGTGCACGCTTCGCTTTCGTGGTGTAGCGGCGCGTCTCTCTTGCTCCTCCTCCGCGTCCGGAGTCCATCCAAGAAGCGACGGTGGCGTAGCCTATCTTTCGCTAGTGCTTCTGCCTGAGAACAGCGTTTCGTTGTCATCCTCCACCCATCGCGGAAGTGCAGCGTTGTGGCGTGAGGTGGAAGCCCTCAGTGAATTCATGCAGTCCCTTCCAGACGCCGTCCCTCCAGCGCTGCATCGACACTCATGTCATGAAATGAAGTCTTTTGCCGCAACCAGCAGGGCGACGCTGCGTGCCGCGGCGGTGCGTCGCAGCCGGTGGCTGACGACGCTGGCGCAGCTGCAATCATCGACGAACAGCGATGCGACGGCAGCCGCACAGCTTCGTTTTGCACGCACGTCGACCCCCACCTCCTTCTCATGGGTGGGTTGTGTGTCAGCTGACTGGGCAGACCACCTTGCGACACGCACCACGCTCTCCTTTCTCGCGCGGCTGAAGCCGCTTACGCCAACGTCGTCGACGGCACGGCGGCTGCGCCGACACGGCACAGCGTCCAGCAGCGCAGCCAACACGCCACCGTTGACGCGGGACATGCAGGATAGCAACACTCGTGAAGACACGGATAAGCTCCGTCAAAAACGTGAGGCGCTGCTCTCCTCGCCCTCCTCCGACTCCTTCCTGTTGAGCAGCGAACTTTATTCTCCACGGCCGAGCGCACACGCACCGCAGCCTCACGTACGGCATGTTTCACAGAAGAACAGCGTCATGCGCGGCAGAGCAGAAGACACGTCACCGTCGCCGCTTGATGGACACACAAGCGCTTCTTCCGGGAGTGCGTCGGAAGCTACGGGTTCCGGTGCAGGGCAAGCTGCCGAAGGCAAGAGCACCAGCACCGGCGCCCCTCCGATGACGGAACCTGCTGCCCCGCAAGACTCTTCTCTGCAGTCGGCAAGTCCTGCCAAGGAGCTAGCGGCACTTGTCGCGTCTTTGCAGCTCTACGCGTCGACGTTGGAGGTAGAGGTGAGGCGACTACGTGGCCGCCTCGCTTGCTATGCAGCGGCGGAGGCCAGCGCGCCGCCAAACGACGAGAGCACCATGACAACATCGACTGCCGACCAACCGCTCCGCCTGCAACGGGAAGGGTGGTTCTTTCCAGCTGGGCCTACGCCCACTGCAAACGCTGACAACTTTTCCCCTCCTCCATCGCTGCCTCCGTTGGTGGAGTCAGCCGCCACGCACCTCCGCTCGGATCAGGACTTCCCGGCGACGCTGCAACCGAAGTTGGACGCTCTTCTTCGCCGTGTGGCCGAGGCGCAATGTGCGGTGCCACCCCATCCCGGCTTGGCCTCTCCCACAACAGCATCAGCACACCGCAACGCTCACCACCTCGAAGAGTTGCAGCTGAAGGTGGCGCTTTACGAGCATCGGCTGGCCCTCGTGGATTACTACGTGACGCCAACGCTGACGCGGTGCGCTGATGAGATCGACCAATGCTTGCAGCCGCGCATTGAAAAGTAGAAGGTGCTGTCCAAGAGAAGCTGGTTTATTTTTTGAGGGAGGTGGGGCAGCTTCTCTTCTTAATTTCCTTTTTACACGTCCATGGCAGCCACCCCCGGGGAGGGAGGAAAGGTGGAGCAAACACTTCAATGCGTACATCACAACTTTTCATGACACGCGTTTGCAAGACCAACTTTTGTGGCACGCGGTGCCGCTCTTGTAGTCAACGCGCAGGAGGGGGGAGGAGAATGAAGAGAAACAGGTAAACGCCGCGTTCTGCACCTCACCTCTGCTTTCGTCGCCTTCTCCTTCCACTTTTATTCTCTTTTCGTTGTTGTGGCGCCTTCAATACAATCAGGTACGGTGAGCACTTGGGTTTGCTTGTTCGTGCAGCCGGATCGCACCGCCTCCGCCCACGCACGCACGTGTAGAATCCGGGGAACGTAACGTAGCACCGCTTCACAACGGCACGCCTTTTAGTGTTTCCTTATGTCCTCCACTACCCTTTCCCCTCCCCCTCCCCCACAGCCACTACCGGCGTTGGAGTCGTTCATCGAGGTCCTCCCGGTCCCCCCGCTGCACGATCGCCGGCGTGGTGTTGTGCGCTTTGTCGGTCTCACCGACTTCGCACCCGGCGAGTGGGTCGGCGTGGAGCTCGTCGGCAGTGAAGGCCGCAACGACGGCTCGGTGAAGGGTCAGAGCTACTTCAAATGCCTGCCGGGGCAGGGCGTCTTCGTGCGACCGAATCTGGTCGTTCCCTACGAGCCTGCGAAAACGACGGATGTCAACAGCGCGCCGCAACCGTCGCTGACCACGACGGCGGACTTAGAGGCACAACTCGCCGTGCTGCAGCAGCAAGCAGCAGAAAGCGCGGCAGCACAAGCGAAGTTGAGCGACGCACTGCAGAGTGCAAAAGACGAACTTGTCAGGGTGAAGGCCGACGCAGAAGCGCGGAAGGCCACTGACGACGACGACGACTTCGCGGCCCAGGTGCGTCTGGAGGAAGAGCGCTTCGCCCTGCAGAAGCAGCTGGAGGCGTATCAAGTGGAGCTGCAGGCAGCAATCGCATCTTCCCGCACAGCGCAAGCGGCTCAGGCAGTAGCAGAGGCACGTGCCACGAGTGCGCAGGTGGCACAGCAGCGCAGCGAAGACGCACGCGCGCAGCTGCAAGCGCATGCTGACGACTTACAGAAAGAGCTCGCGAAGGTGCACGCAGACTCGACGGCAACGGTGACTACCGCCCAAGGAGAGGCTGTCAAGAAAGAGGAGAGCGTGATGAACGCGCTGCCACAACTACAGCAGCAGCAGCAGCTGCAGCAGCCACCTTCCTTGAACTCGACGACAACGGAACAGCTCGAGTCTCTGCGTAGCGAACTTCAACGAAGCAAATTGGAGACGCAGCAACTGCGCTGCGTGCGCGACGATCTCGAAGTGGCGAAAGAAATGTGTAGAAATGAATTAGCGGAAGCGAAGGCGCATTGGGCCGCTTCGGAAGATCGAACACGGGCGGTAGAGAAGCGCCTGGAAGACGAGCAGCGTAAGCGTCGCGGGGAGGCGGAGGAGACGAACGCGGCACACGCCGCCATCTTGGCCGGGCTTCGTGCGGAGTTGGAGGCTCTGAAAGGAGAGAAGGCAAACCTGGAGAGCCGTGCAGCAGCGGAGCTGCGTGCGACGGAGGAGCGCCTGACATACGAAAGAGACGCCGCGCTGCGTGCGCACGAAGCGGAGGCCCAAAAAGCTCTCGCCGCCATGCAGCACGAGAAAGACGAGCTGCGGGAGCTGTGCCAGCTTCTCGAGGACGAATTAAAGGAGGAGAAAAGTCAGTCCGACGAGCTGGCGCGGCTGGTGGAGAATCTCGGGTCAGAACAGGCATCCTCACAGGCCGCGGTGGACAACGCACAGCAGCAGACGGCGGGGGAGAGAGACCGGCTGCGCCGCGAGGTGGAGGAAGCACGGGCACGCGAGGTGCATCTCATGGCAGCGATGGAAGCCGCCCAGCAAGAGAAGGACGCCGCGCTGCGGCTGGTGGAAACAGAGAGGATGAGTGCAGCAGTACCGCCAGACGGACAAGCGGCAAAGAATGCAGCGGCCGCACACCTCGCGGTGGAATCCGCGAGCACGTCGAATGAAGTGTCGCTGGCATCTCCGGTTGACGATGCCGCCGCGCTGGAGAGGTACCGCAACGAACTGGATGAAGCGCACGTGCGCATTATGCAGCTGACGAGTACGCAGCAGGTGGCGCAGGACCTGCAGCAACGCTGCGACGAGCTCTCTCGTGCGGGGCAGCATCAACGCCTTGAAGCGCAAAAGCGGCTGGATGAAGCGCAGAACGAGGCAGCGGCAGCCGCTGCCAAAGCGATGGCGGAAATCACGCTGTGGAAGCGGCAGTGCGCGGCGGCACAGCGAAGTGCGGCGGACCTCGCCAATGTCGTGGCGGAGTTGCAGCAGCAACTTGGCAAAGACGACGCCGCTGAGAGCTCTGTGGGCCGTCACAAGACTTTTCCTCTTTCTTTGGGATCAAGATTAGACGCCGGTCGCGAGAGACGTTATGAGGAGCGCATTGCGGCGCTTACCCGGCAGCTGCTGGAGCACCAGTCCGCGCGCATGTCAACGGTGTCTGCCTGGCCGAGTTTCTCCGCGCAGAGAAACTCAAATGTGAGAACTAATGACGCGTCGTCCGGCTTGTCGCGGTCGCCGGTGAAGCTCTTGGATTTTAGTAGCCCTGAGGCATGTAAAGCATCCGTCCACTCCCTGTTCCGTGCAGCGTAAGGAAAGGCGAGTTCGTTCACTCATTTGGTTGTGCTCTTCGAGTCTCCTTCGTCAGGGCTTTTTGTCGTTGCTATTCGTGTATATGTGTTGTGTGTGCCTTCTCTCTCGTGTACAGCTTGATTTTATTGATGTTACGCTGCTGCGGCTGTGAACTGCGGATCTGCGGATCTGCTACCAAAAAAAAAGATACGTTTCTGTGTGAATTCATCGAATCGGGCTAAAACCTCCGCTCCATATCGTGCTGATCGAGGCCAACTGCTCATCATCTTTCAGCAAGCATACCAATCACGCTTCTTCTCCGCCTTCTTCCCTCCCTCTCTCATCATCCCCTCTCCCTCTCCCTCTCCCTCTCCATGCCTCTATCCGTTGCTACGACTTGGGTGTGCGTCTGCTTTTGCAAAAGTAACGCTCTCTCCACCATCCGAAGCAAAAGCACCGAAAAAGAAAGGAGGTCGCCGGAGAAGGAACTCGGCCCATCTCTTCGTCGCTTCCTTTGTTGTTGTTGTCTGTTTTGTTGACGGCCCTCTCTATGTGTGTCGGACAGCTGGGTGCGCAACACCGTTAATTGCAGACAGTGTTGCTCGTCATTTGTGAGCAGAGGTCAGAGCGTTTCGTAGCGCGCTACTCTTATTCGATTGTTTTGGTTGGGGTTTTATACTACTAGATCTTCTCCCGCCTTCCCATCTCGCTGTTTGTTCTCTCTCTCCACCCCACCCCACCCCCTCTTCTTTTCCTACCTATATAATCACTATTAGTAACGCGCGCCTCCATGCAGCCTGCGCACTCATGGACGTACTCCGCCTACAACATCGCGGCGGTGGCCAAATTCACGGCGGCCGTGGCTGCTGAGGTACGCCGACAGGAAAACGCGTACGACGAGACAGCCGAGACGTTGCGGGTGCAGAAGGAGATGACAGACTTTGACTTCACGGAGGCGAAGAAGAAGCTCTACCCACCCGACTCCCAGCTCTACCGCGAGGACGTGTACAACTACCTGGCGGACTCAGAGAAGATATTGTCCGACGACTTGGCACGCCTGCAGGATGCGTATCCGCTTGGCTACAACGGCGTCGACCCGGAGGGGGGTCTCGGCACCTACAAGCTGCGTGCCGCCCTTCTCCGACACGTCGAACGCATCCAGGCGGAGCGGCGAGATTCGGCGTTGGCGGCAGGCGATGGCACCTCGTCGTCTGCCGCGATGAAGCCATTTTGCTGGGCGTCATCCTCGCCTCTGTGGAGCTCTACCGTCGCCAAGTCTGAGCATAGCAGGACGGACGATGCTCAACAAAACGTGGAAGCCTCTGTGCCCTCTTCGACAGCTCCCTTACGCGTGAAAGTGGAGTTGGTGGAAGAAAGCAACACCGACACGCCCGAGCGCCATGTCGGCCACCCGCCACCATTACAAGACATGGAGAAACGAGCTTCAGCGATCTCAGCCGCGGAGCTCGCCGCCGCGTCTGGAAACGGCGTCGTTGACGCACCGCACGCCTTGGCGCAAATAAAGCTTGAGACGTGTGGAAGCCCCAACAGCGGTTTTCCCCCGTCGTGGACTTCGCTGAAGGCGGAGGTGGCAAAAGTGACCCCAAGGGACGGCGACAACGGCGCGTATTTCACCCCGCACCCCTCCGCACCCGGCGCCCCGTTTCCGCGCTACACGTCGACGCCTCCTCCTCCTTCCGCCGCCTCTTCGCCGACCTTTGTCGTGCCGGTGAATGTGCGGAGTCCCGCAACGGGTACCTTGCCCAAAAAGATTCCAAGCTCCGGCGCAGCACCGCCATTGTTGTCGCAGCGAGCCGGCCCTTCTCGAGGAAGCCGCAGCAAGAGTGTTGCACGCCGTGCGGCGGCACCGGCGACGCCCGACACGCATGTCTCGCGCGCAGACGCAGACGAGGACACGGTGACGCAGCTATGGCGGCGTTTGTGGCCGGGGCAGCGACGCACACCAGACACCGCCGTGGCCGATCATCGCCATGGAGGGGCAGAGGAAGTGGTGCGGCCCACCGCCGTGACGGTGAAGGCGTTGGCGAGCGTGACGCAGAAGAACTTCGACCGCGAGCGGGTGCGCTGCGCGGCCCAGCAGGTCCACGTTGCGGCGCTTCTTGAACAGATGAGGAACCAGAAAAAGAAGCCAAGTGCTGGCGAGACGGGGAGGGCCGGTGGTAGCGTGCGTCCCTCCTTCGAAAAACGCAAGAAGCGGGGGTTCACCAACGCAACGACGCTCCACAAGCGCACGCGGCGGAGAACTGAGGCCCACGCTGCCGACCAGCACACCGCGCACCGAGACACGGCGGAAGTGGACGCGGAAGACGACCTACTGATTGCAGCTCCCTACCTGCGTGCTGCACCGGGCACTTCAACGGCGAAGGAGGCAACAACCGCGGCAGAGCTGTTAACAATGCAACGGCGACTTAAAACGGAAATGACCCAGCTGGAGGCGAGGCAGGCAGCGCACCAAACGATGGTGCAAGAGCTGCTGGACGCCCTCGAATCCGCAGCGGATCCTACGCCAGCGAGGCCGTCAGATGCCAACGAACCTTCTGAAATGGATCTCGTTCGTTCGCCCACCGCGACGATCACCGCAGATCAGCAGCGGATACCACGCGACGCGGCACGCCAACAAGGAGGAAGCAGAAGAAGCGCCTCACGTCGGCAACCCAACACCGCTGTCCCTGCAGAGCCGGCACAACGGCAACAACAAGAGGAGTCGGCAGTCTCCCATAGCGCTCCTCTTGACCCGAAAGTCGCGGCGGCGCACAAACGCGAGCTTGTGCGCTATACGCTGCTGCATCCCCGCCAGATGATCACACAATGGCAAAGCGCGCGAGACGCAGACGCGCAGTGGAGCACCACCCGACCAGACGAGAGCGTCTTCACGCATTCGACCACCGCCATCGAGAGCATCGCGCTACCCCCAGTAGAGGACGACCGACAGGCAGCGGACTTGGAGGCCTACATGTGGCCGCGTGCGTTGGAAGCCCACGTACGACATCGGCTGAATGGACACACGGACCTGCGTGGGCGGCTGCGGTGCAGCTACCACGTCGCCCTCTCTCAGGAAGACGTGCGAAGATTGGAAGAGACGTGCGCTGCGACAAGCTCCACTATGGACGACGTCGATATCCTCTCGGTGTTGCTGCCGGATCTGTACAGACACGTTGTGGCGCTCCCCAATTCGGGTACGCACGGCTGGTTGTACGTGCAGGGCCGTGGGGAGGCCATCGTGGCCAGTGTCAAGCTGGACTAAGATTCTTATTTTCTGGAGGAGGTTTCCTTTAACTTTAGACAACATGGCAAGACCCTCAAGCTCTGTTACATGCGCATTCGCGAATAGGGAAAGAACGCTGGAAGGCACGATCGACTGTTGTGCATGTGCACCACACTTTTTGTTTGCGTTATTGTTGTTGCTTTGTACCATACATAAGTCGTTGAAACGAATTCGGCTGCCTGTTCAATACGCAGGTTGTGTGATGTACGTCCCTCTTCACGTCTTCGACGTACGAGTTACACACTGTAGGGGCACCACAGTATTAGACAAATATCTGCGCAGTCCTAACATCACCGTCTTCCGCGCTTTGCTCTTCCGTTTGGGGGGGGACACCGTGCCGGCAGATGAAGACACCACGCAGGACCTTGTGTGGTCATTGCTTCCCAATACACAGCTCGCGGTCATGAGTTGAATGAGATGCCCAGGCAAAGCACTCGTCCTCACGGTTGTTGTTATGGTTTGAAGGAGGCCGCATCGCAGTCCCGTCTTTGCTGACATTGTTCACTCTCTTCTCCTTTCCTGTTTTTTTTTCTGTTCTCCAATCGTGCCGCACACAGCAATCCATAAAATGTCTGGCACAAAGGTGGTGATGAAAGAGTCGACCATGCCGGTCGACATGCAACAAGACTGCGCCGACTGCGCCTCGCACGCCTTGGTGACGCTCAAGCTGCGGGAGCAGAACAGCATCGCCCAGTTCGTCAAGAAAGAACTCGATGTGAAGTACGGCGGTGACTGGCACTGCATCGTCGGCCACTCCTTCGGCACCTGTGTGGGGCACGACACCACGTACTTCCTCTACTTTGAAATTGACGGTCTGTACTTCAACGTTTGGAAGATGGAGACCGCCACCGCAGTAAAGCAGAGTGATGCGGCGGCGGTGGCGGCGGCGTGAGCCGTACTGCAGGTCCCCGTACTCGCTCCGATATGCTCCTTTTTCGTCTTCGGTGCTGGGCAACGGAACTGGTTGTTGTTGTTGTTGGTCTGCTCTTTTGAATGCCGGATTCCCGGTAGAATTGTGCTGATGTCTTTCCGTTTGTCTGTCTTCATGTAAACTAGGTTTTTCTTTTCTTCCTCGCAAACAGACAACTAACTGAAGTGCACGAAATGGATTTTTAGACGATCTCGAGCGGCTTCTATCTGTTGTTCAAACTTAGCTTCGCTTCGCGGAGTGCCGCTGTAGCATCTCTAAAACTAAACAGCATGAATGTCCTTTCCGTGTCCTGCATCTTCATTTCATCCCTTTTCCTCCCATTTCGTTCCTCTTCTGTTTGCGCGCTCTTTTCCCCGCCGCTCCGCATTGTCTCCCGCCACCGAGGATACGTTGCGCTTCGCCGTCTTTCTTTTGTTTGGGCAGCAAGGAATAAAGAAAAACTCATTGGATTTCTCTTAACCATCTCCGTGTGCGCGTAGTCTTCTGTCCTCGCCTGTTTACTTTGATCATCTCATCTGTGGGCTTCATAATTTTTGGCCTTTGTCCTCTTTAACTGTCGGTTTCCCAACATTAGGCAGCAACTCTAGCGTTCGGAGAGATGGCCCGCTCTGCTGTACCGACGGCCCTCGTTGCCGCACTGCTGCTGCTGCTCGCCAGCGCCGTTTCCGTACAGGCCAGCTACTGGTCGGACGAGGTCACACGTGTGCGCACGTACGCTGCCCAGCACTACATGGACCGCACCGCCAAGGACCCGAACGTGTCCGCGCTCCCGTCCGGGCTGCTCGTCACGATCCTCCGCCGTGGCGCCGGCGACCGCGCACCGGCTGCGGAGGACGTCTGCGAGGTCCACTACACCATCCACCACCGCTTCCCCGGCATTGTGGACGACACCCGCGACAAGCCCTACCCGGTGCGTCGCTCCCCGTCGCAGCTTCTCCTCGGCATGGCGGAAGCGATGCAGCTCATGCGGGAGGGGGATCGCTGGTTCCTCTATGTGCCTTCGAAGCTGGCCTACGGCACGGAGGGGTGGAAGGAGCGTCGGGTGGCAGGTCTGGCCAACGTGCGGGTCGACCTCGAGGTGCTCAAGTGCGAGAACCCGCGCGGCAAGACGAGTGAGGAGATCGACGCCTATCTGGCGCCGTTCCTCAAGACCCCGATGCCCGCCAAGTCTATGCCCATCAACTACGCGGATCTGTAGGGCACAAGATGCTGCAACAGGAATTTTGTTAGGGTTGTGAAATAAAGCGTGGCTGATGGTTGTGGGGGGCGTTGTCTTTGGTGTTCACCAGCATTGGCCACGGTTTGTGGGAGGGGGGGAGTGAGGAAGAAGAACATAGTTTTAACTTGTGTGGGCGTGTGTGTTGTCTGCGTGCGAGCGAGAAATGGGTGTGCGTTCCGTCGCCGTTCTCAGCATCTCCTCAGACGTTGTGTTTCGTGTTTTCAGAACTTTCTTTTTATTGCAACGCGTTGCGTTTATCGAGCGCAGGTTTGGCCTGCGCACGTGTGGCGCCGTTACTCATCTTCGTGCAGTGGAGTGTACGTGATTGTGTGTGCAAAGCGGTATTTGAAAAGCAACTAAGATGCAGGCTGAACTGTCACAAGGTAACGGATATTGAAGCGTTGCTGTTTTATGATGTGCTATTGGTATTGATTGATTTTTTTTTTTTTGATAGTTTACGAAAAGAATGGAATGATGAAAAGAGGAAGAATGATACGAGGAGGATGAGGAACAATGGCTCCGACGTTTGCTGATAACATGATTTCTACCTCTACTACTCTCCCTCGCTCGTCTCCTTCGCCTTATCTTTGGGACTTGCAGAATCAAAGTTCTCACACAACTTTTGAGTTTTTTCTTTCCACCCACCCACCCCCGTGGTTGCCCACCACGACAGGGATCCTTGGGTTTAACCAATTCAACTACCCTTGTTTGCCACTTCGTTAGTAGTGCTACCTATTAGAAAAAATGGAAAAAGAGGAAATCGCCAAGTCCAGTGCACCATCGTCCCCTGACGTTGTAGGGAGTAAGTTTGGCAGCGAGACGCTGCGCGGGGTGAATAGATAAGATGTTGGAGGTCCATCGCGAGTTTGGAGGGTGGAATCAGGTCTCAGCTAATGCATCTCTCTCGGACTCTTTGCACCTCTCGATTCTTCAATTTTCTCGTGTAAGTTAACGTAGACTGAGCATGTCAGGTTTTAAAGTCTCAGCTTTTGTGCTGCCTCCGCTACTCAGCAGCACAGGAGGGCGTGCTTGTCAGCATCGTCAAGTGCAGAGGGTATTATTCACTTCGCATTGCGGGCGAGTCTTTCCCCTTTCTTTCCCTCGTGGTTGCTGTTGTTTGAAGCCGCCTCATGCGTCCACATCATGTCTCCTCTGCTCCTGTTCTTCCTTTCCCTATTACTTTGAAACCTTCCTCTCTCCCCCCCCCCTCCTCTCTCTTTCTGTCTACACACGCACACATGCCTGCACACTAAGCAGGAGCCACAGCGCCCAAAATACACAGAAACGTGTACGCGCACTCGTCACTGTCTGCGCTTTTCGTGGTGGTTTATTATTATTATTTGCTCACAACGAAACTCCTCCTCAAGTTCTACTGTGCGGCACAACCCTGCTCCTCGGCGGCGGGCGTCCCTGTTAGACGACTGTTCCACTGCCTCATTTGTTTTTTTTTATTATTTCTTTTTTTTTCTTCTCTACCCACGCTGCTGACGCAACGTGCTTCCCCACAAAAAACAAGTTATATATCTGTTGCGGATGAAAAGTTACTGTATCGCACTGTGACTTACTTTACCTTTTATCTATTCCTATTGCTATTGTTGCTGATTTGGGGCGTTTGCGTTGCTCTATCGCAAGCGCCATCCTTCTTCTTTGCTCTTTATAATCATTTCTGCTGTTTTCCTCGATTGTTTGTTTCTGTTGTTGTTTCTGAGTATCTGCTTCATTACCACTTTAGTACTTCGGTTTCTCCTATATCAAAATATATATATTTGTAGTTTTATTGTAGTGCCTTCCTCTTTCTCTTTCTCTGTCTTCTATGTACTTTTGTTGACGCACCTCACACTTTATATTTACAATCGAGTCCTTCCCGGACATCGAAGCTGCGCGGCTTGCAAACAGCGTACACGGTCAACGAAAGAGTGAACGAAGGAGGAAAAAGAATAGATACTTAGGTATGCCTTCGGGTAGAAGGGAGAGCAAGTGGAGTTCACGCCAGGAACGCCGAACCCCCCTGCCACAATCACTCACAAGTCCAACCGCTCACGGCTCAGACAACTTCGCAAGCAACATTGGGATCGAAAGCACCAGCGCCGCAGCGCTTCCTTCAGCATCATCATCAGCCAAGTGGAAGCAGTTCGAACGGGCAACGTCACCTATTGGTGACGTGGACGGGGACGAAGAAATGGGTCACAGCGGCGGCAACAACACCAACGGCGCGACCAGCGCGTCGCCACCGGTGTCGCACTGGTCGAGCTCGGACGGGTCTGCGCTGCAGTCGGCAGCACCGCCCGTGGCGCCTCTTTTCGCCATTCCGGAGGTGCTGCTGAACAGCAACAACACCAACCACGGCACGATGACGCCGCACCACAGCGTGGACCGTTGCACGAAGCATCACGATGCCACGGGGGACAGAGTGATCTCCTGCAGTGAAAGAAACGGCGTGGAGTGCGACGATACGACGTTGGTGATGACCGCAGATGTCGCCGAAACCGCGGTGGACTCTCCTGGGGAACTCTTTTACGTCCAGCTCGATCCCGACTCGCAGTTGGTGACAGGGGTGCTGCCGGCGATGGAGCAGCTGCACGTCCAGCTCACGCAGCTGCGCCGTGTGCTTCGGCAGAGCGGCGCCGTTCTGCACTCCCTGCGCGAACGGGCCCGCAGCACCGGCGACGACGTGTGCGAGTTATACGCGGCACCGTCTTTCGCGTCGCAGACACGACGGCGCAGTTCTGAGGGCAGTCGCCCCGCCACCTCACCGATGAGTTACCTGACGTCAACGCGCACCAGTGCGAGGGCACCACTTATTGCCGCAGCAGAGCGCTCCCGCCTCTCACCTTGGTTTGCACCGCACCGCCGATCCGACAGCGTCTTGTCTTGCTCGCCCGTTATTGTTTCTGCGGTGTACTCGCGGCGCCGCGGCGACGGCGATAACGACGAGGATTCGGAGTGGTGCGACGCCGCTACCATCCACACGTCGAGCTCGACTACTGCGCAGAGCACCCCCTCGCTGCATCCGATGCTGATGCCGCCCCCACAATTACAGCTGTTGGAGGAGGACGAGCTGAACGACGACGGCCGTGGCAGCCGCCGGTCGGACGTGACAGGCGTCCGCCGCACCTACGTGGCACGCTGCCGCCCCGACTCGGTGCCATCCTCCTTGCACACCACGCCCAACATGCAGCCGGCGAACGGCTCCTACGCCCGCAGCGACGGCGGTGGTGTACTGTGCCTCCCGCCGTCGACGTTGTCGCTTGCCGCTCGCAGTGAGCGGAAGCAGCAGCAACAGCAAAAGCAGAAACCGCAGCACTCCGCGCGAAATCGCATGCCCTCGCCGACCGTAGCGTCGCCCAGTGGCTCCGTCATGTCTCGCTTCGAGAACTCGCCGCTGCTGCCGCTGACGGACAACTCGACGCGTCTCTTTGACCATCGTGACGCAGCGCCATCGGACGCTGGGGGGAGCGGTCGACTGAGTGAGGCGGAAAAGACGGAGTTGGCCCGGCTGAGTCAGCACGTGGCGGAGCTGTACCGCCGGCGCGGTCTTCTGCTGCAGAAGGCAGACCGCATTTTGTGCCAGCACGCGCAGCAGCACGAGCGGTGGGAAGGCAACGAGGAGCGACGTGGCTGCTACCGCTGCCGCCGCCTCTTCTCGCGACTCACCCGTCGACATCACTGCCGTCGCTGCGGGCGGTTGTGCTGCGCCGAGTGCAGTCGCTACGTCGGCAAGAAGCAAGACACCTCGTACGTGGCACCAGTCAGCTCCGCGCGCGGCCCCAGCGCGGCGATGGCGCATCGCGTCATCATCAAGTCGGAGTACACCGCCCGCATGACGGCTGACGACCCGCACGTTCTGGCGGAGGAAAGCTTCGACGAGCACACTTACCCACCTCGCGGTGTCAGTGTCAGTGCCTTGTCGCCTGCTGTAGCTGCTGCTGCGCCACAACCCAACGTCGCGGAGGAGGAGAACGCGACGGCGGCTCCCAATGAGGACGAACAGCAGCTGCACGACGCGCCTTTCGCTGATTCGGCTACCTCAACGGACAGCCGCGTCGGCCGCTCGCGACAGCACAAGTGGGTGCGTCTGTGTGCACCGTGCTACCAGAACTGCCTCCGTGCCCGTCGCAACAACGTCCTGCAGTACCTCAAGAACGCAAACCTGTGCATTCTTGACGACGGCTACTACTACTACCACGTCATGACGAAAGACGAGCTGTGTCAGCTGTCCACCGCGCTCAGCAAGCCCGACTCGTTCAAGAAGCAGGTGGAACTCATGTCGCACGTCGTGATGGAGCGCTCGGTGGACTACGTGGCCGCCGCGCCGGCCTACAGCGCCCAAACGCTCGCCACCGCCATGCAGCACACGCCAGACGTGCTGCGCACCCTCGGCGGCATCAGCGCCTACGCGTTCCGCTCCGCCCGGCAGACGGCTAACGACTACGTCGGCGGCTACTTCACGGCCAGTCGAACCATTCTGCCGGACAACCCTGTCGGCGCCGCCACTGCCGCGCTGCTGTCCCAGGCCGACGTGTACGGCTCGGAGCGTCGCAACACAGGCGACGAGGAGTGCAGCGAGGCCTCGGTGGAATCCCTCGATGACACGTGCAGCGAGACGCAGTCGCCATCGTCTCCGGGGACGGGGACGGAGCAGGCAGACGAGGAAGACGAGGCCAAGGCGACGGCTTTCTACGGCGAAATTAAGGGCGATGAAGAAGCGGCAGCGCAGGGAGAAAATTGCGCGTGAGCAAGCGGCGGAGGCAACCGTTTAACGCACCGATGCACGCACCGCGTCGCGTCCGTTCGGCGAGAAGGTTACGATCCTGTTTTGTTGTGTGTTTGTTTTTCTTGTTTGTTGTTGTCTAGATATACACTCACGATACTGCTTTTTTTGCCTTTACCAAAAAGTAATAGTAGTTTTACTGGTGTTTGTTCTCCCTTCCTGTTGACAATTGCCTCGGAGTCAACAGCCTTGATCTTCTTTTCCGGTTTTCTATCACTTTTATTTATTTATGGTTTTTTGTTAGCCTGTTTGTTTGTTTCCTGTGCCTACCATCTGCTTTTATCGTGGATTGGGTGTATCTCTCGTTTTCTTTGCTCTGCTTCACTATCAGGATCGTTTTGCCCACGATAGAGTCTCGACGCACGAGTTTTCCTCAAGAGCGTTTTCGTTCCTGTTCAAACTCTCAAACCCCGTGGCCCGTGTGAACGTTTCGTCTGCTTGCTTCTGGTTTACAGTGAAAGTATTCTTTTTTTCGTTCCTCGTTTTCCCCAAGTTGGTTTTCATCCGCAGCCGTAAAGTAGCCAACCAAACCGCCAACACCAGAAGAGAAAAAGAGCACGCGAAGAAAAACCAGTGGGGGTTTGAAAAACGCCCGCCCCTCCACAAGCAACGTTGCGCAGGGGCGCCCGACAACAACGATTCCCATTCTATCTCCCTGCAAAGAAAATGATAACCCCCTCCGCCGCCGGCGTTCGCACTCCTCCCATGTGCCCGTTTCTCTCTGTCTCCGTTTTTTGCCCCCGCCCTGCCCCGCCTGCCGCGGCGCCCACCCGGCCCCTCCGGGCCCCCCTCGCGTGGGC